TCCTGAATCAGTCCTGGTTCAGTTCGTATTCGGTGCAAAATCCAGCATCGCAGTCACGGACGTCACGTAAACCGTTATCCATTTTTTCCATTCTTCATTTAAACACAAAATCAAAAACTGAAAAAACAAATCGTTATCTGTTTTTTCATTTTGGTTTTGGAGACAAATAATGAAGAAAACTGTTGCTTTTTCGTTTTCTTATTTTTGGTTTTATATTGAAAAATGAATTAACAAATGATTCACAGACTCGCATACTCCAAATTAGTTCATTCACGTTCTTTTCACGTTATGTTGTTGTTTTTTTCCTCCCTCCGTTTAACATCACACTGCAGCTCGGTTGAGTTTACAGAAAAATAGGATAATGAAATGTAAGACCTTTGTGAAAAAAATAAGTATTGGACAACAGAATTTAAGACTTTTAAAGGCCTTAATTTAGGAACATGAAATTTAAGACCTTTTTAAGACTTTTAAGACCTTGAAGAAGCAGATGTCAACTTGAAAATTACGGCTTCATGACATCACAAGGTGGAACAGAGCGTTTTGAGGTTCAAATAAGAAGCTCCAATATGCGTGAGTAAAACTAAACACAACTCCAGGTCTGTTTTGGAGGATCTTGAACGTTATAACACGACTTAAAGCTCACAAGAGTCCGTTTTGTGTAACATAAAACCTTTAAGTCACGCTCTCCTCCGACTTCACTGATTCTCTTTAGTTTTTAGGCAAACGCTCGGGTTCCATTTCACCCACTTCAAAGTTTAAAGTCACTTCAGAGTAATTAAACGTATTCATGAGTCCTTCTTTACAAGTCTGATTTTCTGCCGCGGGCTCCGCTCACCTCCGAGACTTTTATTCTTTGGACGTGGGCTGATAAAAAGATTTAAATGAGATAGTTTAATACAGATTCTCTTAAACCTGCTGCTCTCTGACACTTGCAATTTTCATTAAACTTAAAAGTCCTGTATTACACAAAATTCTCTCCTGTGAGCTTTTAGACATGTTAGAGTCCTGTTAATCCTGTTGTGTTTGTGAAGAAACAGATTACATGTACCAGAGTTAAGTAATCAGAGTACAAATTATGAGTAACTGTATCCGGTTACAGTTACTTTGCTGAAATAAATGGATTACACTGCGGTATGTTCCTGTTCTCACATTTTGGGCTAAACCAGGACTAAACCAGGTCTAAACCAGGTCTAAACCAGGACTAAAACCAGGTCTAAACCAGGACTAAAACCAGGTCTAAACCAGGACTAAAACCAGGTCTAAACCAGGACTAAAACCAGGTCTAAACCAGGACTAAAACCAAATCTAAAGCAGGACTAAACCAGGTCTAAACCTAAACCAGGTAAACCAGGACTAAACCAGGACTAAAACCAGGACTAAAACCAGGACTAAAACCAGGATCTAAAAACCAGGACTAAAACCAGGACTAAAACCAGGTCTAAACCAGGACTAAACCAAGTCTAAACCAGGACTAAAACCAGGACTAAGCCAGAACAAAATCCAGGACTAAAACCAAAACTAAACCAGGACTAAACCAGATCTAAACCAGGTCTAAACAATGACACCCTACAGTAGGGTGGACATAATTTAAGGCGGCAGTGACCTCATATAAAAAGCATTTTTCTATCAATAATATTTTTAATCTGGTTAAGGACAGACTGGGCTTTTTGTGTCTTTTAGCAGATAAAACATCTTCGTCTTCGTCTTTGCTTCTCTACAACAAACAAAAGTCTGTTCATGGAGACTTGGGCTCAACAGACAATTTGAAGAGAACAAACAAGAATTTTCAGGATGTGGTTGGTACATTCGTGTAGTTTTAAAAAACATGACAATATCAAGTAATCCAAAGTATTCAGATTACATTACTCACCTGAAGTAATTTAATGGATTACGTTACAAACTAGATTTTGGGGTATGTAATCTGTAATCTGTAGGGGATTCATTCACACATGTTTTAGCAACACTTTATTAGTCTGTCCGCATCTCCAAACCTCAAAATGGTCTGTTCCACCTTGTGATGCGGCTTTGTAGTTTACCAAAGTCATACTAAAACATTTTGACACATTTCTGAGCGCCGTGTACCACATAAAATCGGTTTGAGGTCAGTAAGCACATCCAGAATTAATACTTAAGGCGCACTGTCAATATTTCAGAAAATTAAAGGATTTTAAGTGCGCCTTATAGTCCGAAAAATACGGTCTTCAGTCAGTGTGCCTCAGGTTTGTACCTCGCCCACCTTTACATTTTTCAGTAAGGGCAACATTCTGTTTAGATTTCCCCTATAACCGCCAGCATCGCACACTTCATTAGACTGGAGCTGAACACTTTAGTCCGAAAAATACGGTAACTGCTAGATGCATATGTTTAACGCCATGGAACATTCCAGGGAAATCAATAAATCAAAGTTATACATTGCACGTTTAAAGGGCCCATATGACCTTATTTTCTGATTCGTTATAATGTTGTTTTCTCATCACAAACAGACCTGGAGTTGTGTTTTGTTTCACTCACACTTGTTTAACGCGCAAAACCCTGCATATTTAAGGGGAGTTCTCTGTTCCACCTTGTGATGTCATGTGGCGATACAGGAAGTGCTCCACTGTATATACCTTTAGTAGAGTCGTTTGGATCATTTCAGACCAGGACTTGCCAATCTCTTCTCTGCTGAACTAAAAGTAAAAGGAGCTGTTAACTTGACTAACTTAAGCTGAAAACAACCACCGCATGACATCACAAGGTGGAACAGAGCATTTTGAGATTTGCCTTTACAGTGTCTTGTTCTCCACAAACCCGTTCTGAAGTACATGGGATCCTTTGTATTAGTTTATGTGTTTATATTTCCGTCTTTTCTCACGTGTTAATCCTCCTGGAGCTGTTTACAACGCTCCGTCTCAACAGAATCCTTGTTTTTAATATTATTTTGCAAATCTGTCCACAGTCCTCAGTCCGGCAGACCCACGCTATCAGTCAAAAGTCTGGACACTCTTTTCCAAATTGTTTCTTCTTTACTTGCATGATTATTTACGTTATAGATTCTCACCGATCAAAACTATGAACTTACACGTGTGGAATGAAATAAACAGAGAATAAACTCAAAAAACTCCACAAACGTGTTTTAGATTTTAGGTTTTGAATCGTGACCATCACTGAAAGAAGAAGAGTTTACAGAGCTGTTTTTTGAAACATTATTCCATAAACTCTTACTTCATGTGTTGACTTCTGTGTGTATCTAAAAAGTATTAGTAGTAGCAGTAGTAGTAGTAGTAGTAGTAATAGAAGCAGTAGAAGTAGTAGTAGTAGTAAAAGTAAAAGCAGCAGCAGCAGTAGTAGTAGTACTAATAGTAGCAGTATAGTAGTAGTAGTAGTAGTAATTGTTCTAGTAGTAGAAGTAATAGTCATAGTAGAAGCAGTAGTAGTAGGAGCAGTAGTAGTAGTAGTAGTAGTAGTAGTAGTAGTAGTAGTAGTAGTAGTAGTAGTGCTACTAATAGTAGCAGTATAATAGTAGTAGTATTAATAAAAGTAAAAGTAGCAGTAACTGTACTAGTAGTAGAAGAAGTAGTCGTAGTAGTAGTTGTATTTGTAGTAGTGGTAGTAGTAGTAGTAATGCTTGTAGTAGTAGTAGCAGTAAAAGCAGTAGTAGTAGTGGTAGCAGTGGTGGTAGTAGTAGTAGTACTAATAGTAGCAGTATAGTAGTAGTAGTAGCAGTGTTAATAAAAGTAGTAATAGTAGTAGTAGTAGTAGTAGAAGTAGTAGTACTACTAGTAGTAGTAGTAGTAGTAGTAGTAGTAGTAGTAGTACGTAGTAGTAGTAGTAGTAGTAGTACTAATAGTAGTAGTAGCAGTAGTAGTAGTAGTAGTAGTAGTAGTAGTAGTAGTAGTAATAATAGTAGCTAGTAGTAGTAGTAGTAGTAGTAGTAGTAGTAGTAGTAGTAGTAGTAGTAGTAGTACGTAGTAGTAGTAGTAGTAGTAGTAGTAGTAGTAGTAGTAGTAGTAGTAGTAGTAGTAGTAGTAGTAGTAGTAGTAGTAGTAGTAGTAGTAGTAGTAGTAGTAGTAGTAGTAGTAGTAGCAGTAGTAGTAGTAGTAGTAGTAGTAGTAGTAGTAGTAGTAGTAGTAGTAGTAGCAGTAGTAGTAGTAGTAGTAGTAGTAGTAGTAGTAGTAGTAGTAGTAGTAGTAGTAGTAGTAGCAGCAGCAGTAGTAGTAGTAGTAGTAGTAGTAGTAGTAGTAGTAGTAGTAGTAGTAGTAGTAGTAGCTAGTAGTAGTAGTAGTAGTAGTAGTAGTAGTAGTAGTAGTAGTAGTAGTAGTAGTAGTAGTAGTAGTAGTAGTAGTAGCAGTAGTAGTAGTAGTAGTAGTAGTAGTAGTAGTAGTAGTAGTAGTAGTAGTAGTAGTAGTAGTAGTAGTAGTAGTAGTAGTAGTAGTAGTAGTAGTAGTAGTAGTAGTAGTAGTAGTAGTAGTAGTAGTAGTAGTAGTAGTAGCAGTAGTAGTAGTAGTAGTAGTAGTAGCAGTAGTAGTAGTAGTAGTAGTAGTAGTAGTAGTAGTAGTAGTAGTAGTAGTAGTAGTAGTAGTAGTAGTAGTAGTAGTAGTAGTAGTAGTAGTAGTAGTAGTAGTAGTAGTAGTAGTAGTAGTAGTTGTTGTAGTAGTATAGTACACAAATAGAAGTAAACACAAATCAAAACACTGAATGAATTAAACAGTTGAATTGTCACAGTTCAGGCTGGAGTCTCCCACAGCCGCACACTTGCCCATGTAAAGCTGCGCTATGGATCTTTCTATAGCCAGCACCTGCTCGCCCTCTGCTTGGGACGGTCCTGCGAGTGTGTGTGTGTGTGTGTGTGTGTGTGTGTGTGTGTGTGTGTGTGTGTGTGTGTGTGTGTGTGTGTGTGTGTGCTTGAGTGTGTGCGTGCGTTTTAATGGGGAAATCCCTTCTGGACGCTGCACAGAGACAGAGAGGAGCCGCCTAACCTCACTCCGCTCTCAGTCACGGGGGGCAGCCGGGCTTTGAACATGCCCCGCGCCGAACAGCCTGACCCCCCGTTCGTCTCGCGCCTGCCCACCGCCGTGCCCAGAGACAGGCGGAGCGCAGGACCCAGCGGAAAACCCGCCAGGAGGGAGAGCGGGGTCCCAGCTAGGAGCCCTGCGCAGCCCAACACGTCACGGAGGTATGGGTGGAGAGAGAGGAGAGCGTAGTGTGGTCGTTACTCGTGGAGTCTGCAGGGGTAGTTTGGACATTGGCTTGAGGATTTTATTGGAAATGGAGTAACGTTTGCAAATATGAACTGGTAAATGAGCATGTTGTGCTGTGTTTGCATGGTTAGGAAAGTAGATTTACAGCAATTTTGGACACACAGTGACTATAGGGATGTAAAAATAACCAAAATATCATCATATTGTATCTTTAAAGTTCGCACAATAATATCGTGGACAATCCGTGTATCATTCGTTCATTCGTTTTTCAATATAAAACCAAAAATAAGAAAACGAAAAAACAACAGTTTTCTTCATTATTTGTCTCCAAAACCAAAATAAAAAAAATGGATAACGATTAGTTTTTTTCAGTTTTCGATTTTATGTTTAAATGAAGAAACGGATAACGGCCGTTTCGCGTTTACGTGACTTCTGTGACTGCGATGCCGGACTTTTGCACCGCGTACGGACTGAACCAGGACTGATCCAGGTCCCGGTCTGGTCCTGGTCTCAGTCCGGCTCTGGTCCTGGTCTGGTCCCAGACCTGGATCAGTCCTGGTTCAGTCCGTACGCGGTGCAAAAGTCCGGCATCGCAGTCACAGAAGTCACGTAAACGGGAAACGGTCGTTATCCGTTTTTTCCATTCTTCACTTAAACACAAAATCGAAAACTGAAAAAACAAATCGTTATCCGTTTTTTCGTTTTGGTTTTGGAGACAAATAATGAAGAAAACTGTTGTTTTTTCGTTTTCTTATTTTTGAGTTTATATTGAAAAACGAATGAATGAATGACACACGGATTGTGGACCATCGCAATATATCGAATTGCGAGTCTCTTTGCTTAAATTAAGAATTATGGTGAAGCAAAAAGACTACATAGACCATGATCCTTTGCTCCATTTCAGAGCAGACCATAAGAAGAAATAACAGTTTTGAGCACTTTTAAGTTTTAGTTCTTCGGATTAAGTCTCGTCAAGGCAAAATATTGCAATAAATATCGTACCGTGAGATGTACGTCATAAAAATATCGTACCACGAGATTTGGATATTGTTACGTTCCTAATCGTGAGCTTTCCCACGATATCGCAATAAACACCGTATCGTGAGGTTCATACCGTGACGACATCGTACCGTGAGCCTTGGATATCGTTACACCCTTAACTGTGATTAATCGACTAATCGGAATCAGTTTTATTGACGTTGTTTAGGGCAGGCATGTCCAAATTATGGCTCGTGGGCCAAATGTGGCCTTCAGACAAATTTTTCTTGGCCCTCAGGCTTCCAGGAGAATTGGCCCGAATGACCTTGCATCAATGAAAACTGAACTTTTATTGCAAGTTTTTTGAAAATCTACCTTGAAAAAGCCAATATTTAGTGTGTGGTTTTGAGGATCTTAGCGTGAGTAAAGGACTGATGGCTCATTCTAACATGTTAAACATGCACATATTTCACTTATTCACTGTAAGGAGCATCAGTCTACGGCCCTCGATCGGCCCTCTGCTTCATCTGTGTTTAGATATGTCGCCTTTGATGAAAAAAGTTTGGACACTCCTGGTTTAGGTTGACCAGACGTCCCTATTTCCCCGGGACATTCCCAGTTTTGGTCAGTTTTGTGTCCCCTGTCCCAGCGGATTTACTCAAAACCAGAGATTTGTCCCAGTTTTATACAAGAAATGTCCCTATTTTTGACCAATCTGATCCCTGCCAACAGTAAAGAGACACATACATTGTCATTTCTTATCGTAAAATACACAAAGCTGCTTAAAAATGACTAAAATACAAAGAAGATATAACGATACTGACTCACATTTTAGTCAGGAATGGGCCAAGTGCAGAACAGTTTTCCTTAATTACACACTCGTTTCACAATTTTATTATTTCCAAACGCCAATCCTAGCTTGTTTATTTTTGGTTATTTTTTATATATTTATTTTATTTTATTTTTTATTATTATTATTTATATATATATATATATTTGTTTTATGGTTTTATTTTAGTTTATTTTTGGTATAAGCTTGCGAGCCACTAATTGAAGTTTGGCGAGCCTCACGAGCCGCTCAAGTGAATATGGTTGGGGTTCGGTCAAGTGGTAACGGAGGGAAACAGGGGCAGATTTTTTACATTCAAATGTCTCTTATTCAGAAACTAGAGGAACTATTGAAATAAGTAAAGTATCAGAATGTAGGAAAGAGTTACACTCCAACAGGGTAAAGTTAAACCTGTGATATTCTTTCAAGTTGTTGACAAAAAATTTAAAAACTCATGTCGGTAACGGAGGGAATGAAATATGCAGCACTTTTTGGACAATAAATCCAAACAGTGAAAACTCTTGGTTCTCACTTACATATCCTTAACAAACTGGTTTGAATATTTGCTTCATATAGTTTTATACCATATGGTACAAGATTAGGTTGAAAAACCTCTTACTTTTTGAGTCATGAGATTTTTTATTAAGAAATGTCATGGTAACGGAGGGAAAAGTAACGGAGGGAAAATTGTGCAAACAAGTAGAAGGTGCAGGATTTTACATCATTTGTCGCTTTTTTCTTCTGAATACTTTAATATTACTTCAAAATGAAAGGAAACTATTTCTGTAAAATATGTCAGTCCTTCCAAGCAAATTTTTTATCATTTTAAATACTTTTTTTTTTTTTTGAAAAATCATGTACCTTCATCAACAGTTCAAAGATGGAATAACACAAGATATGATGAAATACATCCGTTTATTTACATGATTTTCAGGTCTTTGAAATTTGGGAAATAATTTTTGTTCCATGTTTCATACATGGTCTGTTTAAAACGTATGGAACTTTAGAACCAAAAATGGTACAGAAAAAAGGTCAACAGTTTCATAAACTAGAGTACATATGTATCTGTTCAATACATTTTTATATCAGATGCATTAACTTGAACTTTTGGCCTTGCTGTTTACTTCTGCTTCCTGACATGCAAACCCAATCGAATTCCACACACTTTCGCATCACCATATGCACGCAGACAAAAAGAGAAGACGCAATGCCACTTTTGCGTCTTCTGCTCAGACTGTCGTCATATAAACGCAGCCTCAAAACTATAAAATAATCCTGTTTGTATTTTGCTGTCAGGCTGTGTGTGTAGTCATTTATTTCCCGTGTATTTCTCTTCAGTTTTACACATTTTCCCCCTGTCAGGTCATAAAGTGCAGAATGTAAACGAGCGCGTACACGTCACGGTTAACCCACTTTCCTCTATGAACTTGATTGTGTCCGAACAGCAGCTCACAGACACAGGCAGGGCTGTTCCACCGTCACTGTCCTCGTCACACGGGCTGCTCACTTCCTCCTTCTGCAGCTTCAGCGCCGCGTTCGCGTTAGTCCACACAACAAGGACGCTTCTTTAAAAATCTGCTCTACGGGAAGAACACAAAACAAAAACCTGAGTAAGTCCGGATCTATTCAGATGCTTTGTGAATTCTAAGATGTATTTTGAATTTAATTTAAGTTGGAAATTGAGTCTTGAGTAACTTTTTAAAGTAGCTGTACTTTTCTTGCAGTGTACTTTTACTCCTACTTGAGTCATATTTTTATTGAAGTGTCTCTTATTTGAGTTAAAGTTGTGGTTACTCCTTCCACTATGAATCTAAAGTGACAAAAGCTTTATGTTTTCTTCAGATATAATGTATTTTTTTCTAATTATTTTGTCTATCCTTAAAAAAAGACCAGATTTTGTAGATTATTTAATGTTTTGTGCTTCCAATTACATTAACTTCAACAATTACGCTTTAAGTTACTGCACTGAAAAAAAAAAGGTTGCTGGATTTGCGTAAAAAAGTTATGGACAGCGGTTGCAATAAAATTATGTTTAGGCTTTGAAACTTTTTTCGATCTCCTCTACACATATTTTTCTCGGAACATGAACATCACTTTTTCATGTTGATGAAATTTGAACAAATCATGCTGAATATGCATATTTATCTTATGGTACCTTATCATGAAATGTATAAGTATGTATAATGTAATTTAATTGATCTAATTCTGTAAAAGAAAACAAAAACAGTCTTTAGTTTTCTACAGTTCTGTATTGTCTTAAACAGAATCAAACACACAGAGAGACACAAGTACAGAGACACACAGTTTGGAGCTGGACAGTGTGAAGATTTATTCCAGTGAAGAAGCTCTGGTCTCTGCCTGTGGACACAGAATAACACATGATGATCACATTCTGATGATCTACTCTGTTCTACATGTTTAAATACACTTATAGCAATTATTACTACAATAATGGACCAGAACAGAAGAACAAGAACATTAGAAGTGTATCTGCAGAAACAAAACTCACCATGTGCTGCTTTTCTTCCTCTAAACACAGTAACAGGGAGGGCATCTGGTATAAAGTCTCCTAATGCCACATCACCCTGTAGAAACACGATAACTGTTTCAATAGGAAGTTCATTTTGAAAATTTTTAAAATAATTTTAGTTGGTTTACTTACTTTGTTCATCTGTGGTCTGTGTTTTGTTGGTTCTCAAACATCTTCCTTTTTTCTGAAACATCAACTATAACATTCATGAATTTCCCCACAGCTCCAGCAGAACTTTCGATATCACTCTTTGTTTGTAGACGACTCTGGAACAAACACATTCAAATCTTATACAACTGTCACACTCTTGTAGATGGACAGTCAAATACAATTTGTTTGAAGCTGTCCTTACATTAACTCTACTTTCAAATAAAACACCACAAACATGTTTTAACAATGACGAGAAGCACATAATAAAATCTTTGAAAAGTCTCACCTCCAGATCAGCTCTCATAATCCTCCTGCTTCACACTGTGTGTCTCTGCTCCTGGATCTGTCCTGTGTCCTGTTACATTTGAATTTTCCCTCCAAAAGTTTTGGGGAGGAGAATTCCAGAGGGAGGAGCCTCACCAGAGATTATAATAAAGTCATGTTTCCTCAACCTGATTAAAACATGCAGGTTTAACATCGGCCACAATCAAGCGATGTTTGTAAGATTTAAACATGCTGGACAGAGAAACGTAAAAAAGTGATGTTATTGTTGTCAAATTTGTTTTTGCAATTTGAGCAACCCCTCTTGGACCGTTTTTTCAGTGTGGTACTTGAGTAGTACTTTTACCAAATACGTTTTTACTCTTTCTGTTGTAATTTCTTGGGCCACTACTTTGCTTCTACTTCTGATATTACTTTGAACTAATGTTATTCTGACTTGAGTACAATTTACTTTACTCTGTTAGTACTTTACTCTACCCACCTTTGCCTATTTGTGTAAAAGCAGTGTTGGGAGTAACGTGTTATAAAAGTAACAAATTACTGTACTGCGTTGCTTTTTGCTGTAACGCAGTAATGTGGCGTTACAGGGAAAAAAAACTATAATATTTTACTCGGGACAAATGTGAGTAACGAGCGTCACAAAGTTTTTTTAATCTGTGTGTCATTCGTTCATTCGTTTTTCAATATAAAAACAAAAATAACAAAATGAAAAAACTGTTTGCTTCATTATTTGTTTCCAAAACCAAAATGAAAAAACAGATAATGATTTGTTTTTTCAGTTTTCGATTTTGTGTTTAAATGAAAAATGGAAAAAACGGATAACGGCCGTTTCCCGTTTACGTGACTTCAGTGTCGGACTTTTGCACCACATACAGACTGAACCAGGACTGATCCAGGTCTGGGATCAGACCGGGACTCAGACCAAGACCAGACCGGGACCAGAGCAGGACCAGAGCGGGACCAGACCGGGACCTGACTGAGACTGGGACTGAGACTGGGACTGAGACCGGGACCAGACCGGGACCAGACCGGGACCAGACCGGGACTGAAACGAGGACTAAGACCGGGATCAGACCAGGACTGAGACTGGGACTAGACCAGGACTGAGACTGGGACCAGACCAGGACTGAGACCGGGACCAGACCAGGACCAGCCCGGGACCAGACCGGGACTGAAACGAGGACTAAGACCGGGATCAGACCAGGACTGAGACTGGGACTAGACCAGGACTGAGACTGGGACCAGACCAGGACTGAGACCGGGACCAGACCGGGACCAGCCCGGACCAGACCGGACTGAAACGAGGACTAAGACCGGGAGCCCAGGACTGGACTGGGACAGACCAGGACTGAGACTGACAGACCAGGACTGAGAGACTAGACCGGGACCCGGGACAGACGAGGACTAAGACCGGGACCAGACCAGGACTGAGACTGGGACCAGACCAGGACTGAGACTGGGACCAGACCAGGACTGAGACCGGGACCAGACCAGGACCAGGCCGGGACCAGATCAGGACCAGCCCGGGACCAGACCGGGACCAGACTGGGACTGAGACCGGGACCAGATCGGAGGCTCAGAGGCCACGGCAGGGTTTAGTCCTAGGTTCAGTCCTGGTTTAGACCTAGTGTAGTCCTGGTTCAGCTGTGGTTCAGTTTTGGTTTAGTCCTGGTTTAGTCCTGGTTTAGTCTGGGTTGAGCTCTAGTTCAGTTTTGGTTTAGTCCTGGTTTAGTCCTGGTTTAGTCTGGGTTGAGCTCTAGTTCAGTTTTGGTTTAGTCCTGGTTTAGTCCGGGTCCATGTCCATATACGGCACAAAAGTTCAGCATATTTTGATGAGAGTAACTTAAAGCGCTGCAATAGTCGTGCAATATTTTAAATTTTAAACACAGTTATATTGTAATGTAAAGAATTGCTTTAAAATGACAATAACAAGTCATAAATAACACATTAAAGTTTTAAAGTCACTTGCCCAACAGTGTGTAAAAGTACGACTAAGAAAGACACTGTGATTTAGGTTGAGCAGTTTTGAGATTGGATTTTTGAATCATGTTTCAAATCAAGATTCTGCTCGGTCCACGGTTTAAACACATCCAGGGATATTAACATTTGAGCGAAGAGAAGAAAAGCTGAACTAACACAAGAATCCCACGTATTTCAGAACATGTTTGTAGAGATGTAAACCACAGGGTGAGCAGCTCGATACAGAATCTGAGACGTGTGTATCTGTTTGCAGAGGGGAGCTTTTTGTGCACTCGCTGGATGTGCATAAAAGTCTTTTGAAAACTTGTGAACTAAAATTATTTCAGTTTGTAACGTGTGTTGTTGGATACTTCAGTTTCTGTCAGGTTTCTGTGGATCACATTTAAACCAAGACAGAAAATTATGGCAACAGAAGAATTTATCTTTATTCTTTCTTGGAACGAAAAGGGAAGTTAATGAAGTTTAAAGGGACCGTACTACGCTATTTTCTGACCTGTTCTAATGTTGTTTCCTCATCACAAACAGACCTGGAGTTGTGTTTTGTTTATTCACACATGTTGAACACACAAACCCTGGATATTTAGGCTGAGTTCTTCTCTCAAACAGAAAATACTTGTTGTTCCACCTTGTGATGTCATGTGGTGATACAGGAAGAACTCCGTTGTGTTTCCCTTCACTAGAATCTACTACCGCATTTTTCAGACTATAAGTCGCCCCAGAGTATAAGTCGCACCAGCCAAAAAATTCATAATGAAGAAGAAGAAAACATATATACCATATTTTCTGCACTATTTGGTGCTTTGGATTATAAGGCGCACTGTCATCGAATGGTCTATTTTCGAACTTTTTTCACCGACCTCTGGAGGTAAACAGAGCGCTGCTTCCTCTTCTGTGTAAGGCAAGGCAAGTTTATTTGTATAGCACAATTCGTACACAAAGTAATTCAAAGTGCTTTACAGAATAAGAAATACATTAAAAAGAGACATAAATTGGAGAGAAAAGTGCAGAATGAAAACCTTTCAGTTATTTGCACAGTGAAACAGAAATGTTTTGAGTCTGGATTGAAACAGCGTCACAGAAGAGTCTGTTTCACATGTTCAGACTGTTCCAGGTTTTAGCTGCATGAACCTGAAACTCTGACTCCCCTTGTTTAGTCGTGACTCTGGGCACCAGCAGGAGTTGGTCCCTGAGCTCCTCAGAGTGTGAGATGTTCATATGACACTAACATGTCACAGATGGACTTTGGTGTCGCTGTCGTCAGACTCAGCATCAGTTCCAGTTAGAATTATTCCGGCCTTTCTGAATCCCGACAGGATGGTTTCGGTGTCATTAAAGTCCAGGCTTTGTCCATCCATCCAGTGACTTCAGGAAAGTTTCATGACGCACCTTTCTGGTTACCGTGAAGCTGTGTTCTCCATCCCCGCTTTCCGTCAGTCCGTCATAAGTTTCTCGCTCACTCCAGACTTTTTTCTGCTGCTCGATTACTGTTTTCGGCTGAATATTTCGCTTTTTGCATCTTGTAATCTGCAAAATATGATTTTCTTTTTGGGGGCATTTGAGTTCAGTCTTCTCGGTCGTCTTTATAACATTGTTTAAATGTTAATTGTTCAGTGTTACAAAAGTAATGGTGCGATCGACTGACATGATACAGACAGGACAGAGGCTCTT